TGAAACCACTTCCTCATTTAATGTAATTACACACTTCTGGAATTTTCCTAAGTTTTTTTTATCATTATTATTATTATTTCTAGAGTATCACTGAACCCACCTTGATATTAGCAGTATCAGTGGGGAAAGACGAAAGTTCCTTCAAATTTTGCATTGAGAAACGTTTGATTGAACATTCAGCAGTGGTTTTCAATTTTGGCCTTGATGTACTGAGACGTTTCCCAGAATACCTGGCTTCTATGCAATAATATACGCTGTGGATATTTGAAAATAAGCTGTTTTTCACTGGGAGTTTTTTTTTTTAACAAATGATCAATTTCCGACTTAATTGAAGACGAGCAGATGCTGCCAAAGACGAGCATCTGCTCGTCTTTGGCAGATGCTGTTTCATACTCAATCTTGTCACCCTCACACTTCCTCAATCAACTGTTTATGAAGTTATTCTGAAAAGTGTTACTGATATAAAAATCATGTTGGGTTCCAGACAATTCAGTTCGGTTTTGTGTAGCTCAGTAGCTCTTAAATACACCACAGAATTTATAATGTCTGACAATTGGACTTTCAGTGGTGATGCTTAATCAATACATCCAGGATAGCATTTTAATACTACAGGGTGTATTTCAAAACATGTCTTGTTTAACAGCAGTGCCTTGTAACCCACATTTTCACTACCTTATTCTTAATATGTCAAGAAAACATATGTATACATTGCAATATAAAGAACTAAATACATAAATAAATAAATCTATTTTCCTCCGTCGTTGGTAAAATTATCGGTGACTGTCGTTGACAACCTAGATTTCTACATTTGTTATATAACTCCGTAGAAACTTCGATATTAGCTCACCGCTTACGTCATACGTTAATTCTCAACCCTTCAGAAATAATTTCAAAATATTAAGAATATAATGTGGGTACGTGTTATTAATTTGTTTTTCGCGCATCTAATTAAATTACAGCTTTCGGCTTACATTAAGAAAATATTTTTTGTTTATCGGTATCCATTTTTTTGTGCGTGCGTGACGTCACTTGAACGTACAGCGGAAGAAAAGCAGGTGCAGTTGTAGCATCAGACTCATAACAACCGTTACCAACGTACTGTGACAGTTACCCAGGCCCCTTTTTTCTTTCTTTGGAAAACCTCTGAATACCTTTTCAGCTGAGCTGTTTCTGCTGTGAGAGACGCTGGAGGGTCGACATCATGACTTTGAACCAGAACCACTCAGAGTCTGGTGGAGTCATCATCAACAACAGTGAGAGGTAACGTTAGCTTTTAGTCACCGTTTTCCACACTCGGCCTAGTCTATCTTTTTTTTTTTTCGGTTTAAACGCGAACAGTGCAAACTCATGGAAACACAGCGTCGACCTCACAAATAACGAACAGCAGCAGTGCACATTATGCAGCTATTCGCAGTATATTACTAATTCATAAAAAAAACATAATAAAATGTACACTTTCCCAGTTTTACTTATTTTTACCCTTAAATTCTGAGCACAAATGTAGCTCCTGTGGATTTAGAATGCATAATAAGCGGTTTTGTTCTATTAAACACGAAGTTTCACATAAATACGCCACTATTTGTTGCAACGCCATGGAAAATTCGAGGCGCGTTCGATAGCTCTGGGTCGGCTCTCGTGACCAAAACATGGCCTTCAATCAAAACAGACTTCACGTGCGAACACGGAAAAAAAAAGAGCATGGAGCGCGAGCCTGCTTTCAGGATACGTGTAGCTCAGCGTTTAAATGCTACTTGTTCGGACTGTGGCTCTACGTGAACACATATTGCATTGCGTAGTTGTGCTTACACAAGCCTGCTGGCCTCATACACTCTGTCCTGCTTTGGCAGAAAAAGGTTGTTTGGTTTTGATACTTAAAATAGAGGGAGACTGGGTGTGTTTGGCCAAATGTGTCTCTTGGCAATGCAGAACAGAGAGGGTGTGAACGTATCTTTCACATTACATCAATATTTTCTTGGTTAGAAATGTATTAGAATTTCAGAATTATGGAGACTAGTATCTAACCAGACCTATACCAAAGACCAATTGAACTAACAGTGCTTTAAAAAAGATTGAACTGGCTGCTGTTAAGCCAAAATACGAAATTTCTGCCATATCATTTGTAGAGAAAGCAGGGTTGGTATAAATTCTGCCTTATAGACGCTTCTGGAACATACAGGAATGTAGTAATTAAACCATCAGGAGAAACTGTACAGTCTGTCACTAGATGGCATCAGGGCCTAATCCTATTATTTCAGGGCCATGTTTAGTAACTGGACAGCTACAGAAAAACCCAGCTGTCTCAACTTTAAAATTGTAAGTTCAGGGTTATGAAACTGAAGCTTGAGCCATCTTTAATTTGGATGCTTGTGACGAGCCATAAACATTTTTGACTTACATTATGCACAGTGTTTATTTATTGTGTTATTATTATTGTAAATGTATGTTTACGTGTTTGTGTATGTCACTAGCATGTTGATGTCCCATGATAACGTGGAGCTGGTCTTCTGCGATGCGGACCGTCTGCCTGAGCCGTTCAGAAAGAGCAAAAAGGGCAGCGTCTACTTGACACCGTACAGGGTGAGTGACTTTTTGTAATCACGGTCTCTTACTGTCAGAATTGTCTTCAAATTAGAAATTTTAAATTGTAGATAAATGCTCATGAATAACAAAAGCGTTATTTAAAATGCGTATTTTGCTCCAGACTAACTAGTTTTTTCACTAGCAGTTGTTTTACTGAAGAACAAGTTTACTTTTCTGCAATAAACAGTATTCCTCAGTAGGGATAAGTCCAAGATTGTCATCATAATATTTTGTGATAAAACTAGTTATTACTTCTTTCTTAAAAAAAATACAATAATATTACAGTTTTGACAATTTTTATATCATTAATTGGATTTTTATCAAGACAACAAAAAAATTCAATTTCTTATTATGATTTTGTTTTAGATACCAAAGCACTGAAATTCCTACTTTTGCTTCTTTTTTTTTTTTGCCAATACTATGCCTTAAAAATGTGTATTTGAACAAATGTGTATGTGAACAATCCAATCCAGATTGTACAAATCTAAATTTTTTTAGACTTGGGAAATCAAGCAAACACCTTTATATGTAGATTTCTTATTAAATAACAGATTGCAGTCATTATTTCCAGGATAACTGGAAACGGGCTCAGAGGTGGTTACCAACTGGGAAGTGTGCTACAAAACCTCGCAGCCACCAGTGCAGAGCTTGGTTAGCAGGTGGAAGTGTGTTCATTGGAATATAGTTGAGTTGGACAATGTCTTTGTGACAATAAAAAAAAGCAACAAAGAAGCTCTTTATGTCCAAGAAAACAACAGGGAGACATTTAAATTCTGCAGGAAGTATCAGGACAGACAATGGAGGGTATTATCTCTGATAAAAACCTTTAAAGCAGAAGCTTTAAAACAGAGTTAGGATCAGAACGTCCTCCAAGATTAACTTTTTGTAACATTCCAGAAATGACGTGTATATATTTATTTATTTTTGGTCATTTTTAACCTTTTTATACACAAGTGAAAAAATAAAAACACACAATGCTGCAAAAAACAAGACCAAACTAGTGCAAGAAATCTGTAAACAATACCTAAACTGTTGTTAAATTGAAACAGGGGCAGGGATGATTGGAAAAATTATGAAGCTGTTTTTTTTTTTTTTTTATTACTTTCACAAACATATTTCTAACAATATTTAGCACACACAAAAAAACCTCCAGCAAAACTTAAGTCCAGCTTGAAAGTCGAAACCTGCTGATTCTTCCTTCCAGGTGATCTTCCTGGCTAAAGGACGCGACGCTCTACAGTCCTTCATGATGCCGTTCTACCTGATGAAGGGCTGCGAGATCAAACAGCCGGTTCTGGGCGCCAATTACATCAAGGGCACCGTGAGCGCCGAGCCCGGAGGTAAGCACGCCGCGTTCGACCCCTTCATTCGGCTGAGACGGGTTCTCTACCATCTGGATGAATTGAATGTCTTCATTCATTCAGGTGGATGGGAAGGAAGTGCCACGTTCAAGCTGGTCTTCGCCGCCGGCGGAGCCATAGAGTTTGGCCAGTTCATGCTGCAGGCTGCAGCTCAGGGTAAGAAAATGAAGCAATGCATCTAAACAGTGTTTTTTTGTTTTTTTTTAAACACTTTTTACTCATTTATTTTTTGTGGTATATTTTGTTGCTGCAGCGTCTAAGGGCCAGCCGCTGACTCCTAGCTTCGGTGGCTGCCCTTTCATGGCTAACGGAGGCTACGCTTTCCCTCCTCCCCCAGCTAACGGAATGTACCCTCAGGGACCTCCACCCGGCTACTCCTACCCCAACCCCCCACCTCCAGGTACCAAACCATCATACCAACAGCTGTGTTATTAGTGTGCGATTCAACAAACGTTTCATTTGGTTCTCTCTTCTTCTCCTGTGATCCAGGGGCATTCTACCCAAGTCCTCCAGCTTTTGATGCGTCTGCCAGCTACGTACCGCCCCCTCCTTACTCTGCCCCCCTGGGTCAGCAGCCACCACGTGACCCAGACCTGCCCTCCTCAGCAGCAGGTGAGTCTCTCAAGTGGAGAGGCTCTGAGAGGTAGCTAAGATCAAAATAAACACATAAAAATAAACCTGATGGTTCTTACTTCTCTTTAGGCAAAGAGACAGTTTTGAGTAAGATAATCGTTATTTTATTTTATTTGTTTTGCCTTCTTAGATTTTTATGACCACACCAGCAACGTTAAAGGCTGGAGCTAAACTCATAGCAGACAAAGAAAAACAACCAGAAGATGAAAAAACAATTAGATTTTCTGTTCTTTTTCTCAAGTAGATTTCTTTTTGTTTCAAGAACCTCAAAAACTTTTTTTAAAAATTGCATTTATATTCTAGTGAGAAATCAAGAAATGTCTTGAGGGGAAATTCAAGGCTTTCAAACTCAATCGCCATGGTAAAGCATGGTGGCGGCAGCGCCATGCTGCTGTGTCGTGACGCTTTTCCTCAGCAGAGCTAGAGAAGGTGGACTGAGAAAGCACCAGGCAGAGGAAAGCAGATTCACGTCTTAAAATGGCCTAGTAAAAGGCTTTCCATTCAATTCAGAGCTTGATCTACAGGAAATCTGTCCGTCACCGTCTGCAATAACCCGCTGAAAAATTTGAGTCATATGAGTTACATCGACATTTAATTTCACTTTGGGATCAATAAAGTATTTTCGAACTTGAATTTACAAAGAAAAATACATAATTTTGTTTCCGTCACAACTTTTTACTCATTTGTTGTTTTATCACATAAACTCTTCTGGAGCAGCTCAGATTTGTTGGTAGCAACATTAACAAAAAAGAAAAGTGCAAGAAATGTGAACATTTTCACAATAACAGTCTAAGAAATGTAATCATCTGATGATCATTAGACCTCTGCAGTCTGAGTCAGGACATTTTGCCTTGTTAATGCAATTCCATCGTTCAAACCACTTTCTGCTAACAAATGTAAAATTTGGCAAACCTTTTCCTTTCGTTCCTAGCTGCACTCATCACTGAAATGAGCTCTCCCCTCCCCCCCTTACCCTTCTCATATGTGCCAGGTTTTTTTTTAATAGTCAAAGGCATATTTAATAATGAACATCCTCTCCTGTTCCCTGCCTACCGTTCCCAGCGGAGGCCAAGGCAGCGGAAGTGGCGGCGAGCGCCAGCTGTGCCACTCTGCCTCCTACGCACGTGTACCTGCCGCAGGTAAGAGCCCGTATCCCAGCTCTGAAAAAACTACTTCTGATCAATAATTGAAATGAAATGAACACTTTCTCTCTCATTTTTCTCTGCAGGACAAGCCCCCGCCTTACTCCCCTCCAGAGGACAAGAAGAACCAGTAGACCCTGTGTGACCCCGCCCTCGTTCCTCTGTCTCCTCTCATTTCATTGACTGGACATTTTCTCCTCTCGATCTTCCTTAACACCTTCTAATATTCCTTTTTCCCCCCCTCAGACCCTCCTCCTCGTTTTCCTGTCTCCCTTCATCAGAAGCACCTTTACTTCCCAGGAAGTCGCAAAGAACAAGCGCTGGCAACCAAAATGGTCGCCATCTATTGTATAGTATTTGTCGCTTTCCAAGTGTCCCGTTAATCCCCCCCCCCCCGTTCTCCCTCTTTTAACCTCTTGCGATCTGATGTTGAATGATGTGACGCTCACGTAGAATTTTCTATCTAACCAAACTCTAAACCAATGAAGTCATTTGCTTTGCTACAGACGGCCGTAGGCAAACCGAATGCAGTTTTATTTTTCTATTAGTTTTGTGAGTACCAAGATTTTCAAGAAGAAGGTATTTTCTCGAGAAAACTTAGCGTCAGAAGTACAAAGTAGCCTTCTTTTTTTTGTAAAAGCGAGCAGAGTTTGTGTGTTTCGACATGCTGTGGTGGGACCAGGAACACTAGAGAGTCCACAATATGGGATTAAAGCAGAGCAGTGGATTCTCCTACCAATGTAACACGGGAGCAGACCGGTCACCTAATGATGTCACATCCTGTTTGCCCCAGGCTTCACCATTCACTCCTCTGTCGTCCTGTTTTTGTCTTTTTTTTTATTATTGTAGTTGTCTTTTTCCCCAGATAGTAACACGACCGCCTGGAGGATGGGCTCAGTTTCTGTTCAACTCCGTTCGCTCGGTCTGATCTCGAGCGCCTCGGTTCTTCCTTCCTCTGTGGTCATTTTATCTGTATCCTGTATCTGTGGCGCATCAGCGGCTCATTCTTTGCACTTTTAGAATGCTATGCATCAGGCTACGGTTCGCTCTCGTCGTGGCTGGGTGTACAATAACATTCAGCTCTGTATGTATTTCAAACTTAATTTATTGAACAGTTACTGTAGAATGGTTCAATTATGGAAAAAACAAACGGCATGATCTCAACAGAAGCATGTGCGCATTAGATTGAAGTTTAATAAATGGCTCTTAACTCATGAAACAGGGAGTGTTTCTTTTTTTAAATTTCCAGTCAGGATTGTTGTCACATTTTAAATTTCTACTTAACACAAAAGAGACGAACTCATTCGAGACTGATGCTTCTACGTCAGGAAAAGTGCTCTGATTCCGTCTTTTGCAGCGTTTTGTGCATATCCACAGCAGTTTCCCAAAAATCCTGAGCCTCAAGTACCTCAACATGCCAAAGGTCGACAGCGTAGCTCAGCAAAAGTGCTTAAAAAAACAAAAAACGTGGCTGGTTGTCATAAACGTGCTGAAAACATCTAGAAAGTGCTGTAGATTCCAACATCACACTGCAGGAATCGGTTTCTGCTTTCATGCTGAAAGTCCAAGAGCTCTTTTCTCAGCAGTGCTTTTTAAAAATCTGTTAACAAAAATGGATTTTATTTGCAGCAGGCGAAAGAGTTACTCTTTAACAAGTGGCATTGAATGGAGTTGTGTGGTTTTTAGTTGTGTGGGAAACATTCTAGTATTTCAAACTCCATAACTCCAGTTGTGACATGTTTAGGATCATTGTCCCTCCTGCTTGGCTGAACATCGAAGCTTCTGGACTACAAACCTAACATCAGCACCAACTGGGGTGATTCTGACAAATCAATAACCCAAACCAACCAATCGAATCCTCCAGCTGTCCACATGGACAAGCTAAATATCTCCTACACAAATGATTTACGGTCAGAGACGAAAACTGAGACGTTTGGATAAATGTAGGTGGTTAGCATCACATTCGCACCCAGGATGATTGTATGCAACTTCGGAGCAGGAAGGCAAATGACAGTATTCCTTTCAAGCCGATTAACTCAAAACAGACAAATTGAAACTCTTTGTAGCACAAATTGGCAGCATATCATTAGCCGGTCCGTTCTGGACATAACACTCCAGCTGTACCTTGAATAATGCATGAAAACATCACAATTGTCCTGTCAATGCAAAACACCAACAGTGATAATTGTCACTGCGCTCCTCTTCATCTAGGTAAACATATTTTTCAAAAAAGTTTAAATAAGAATTGTATTAAGTGTTGGCAACCCCCATGTTTGGAGACATTGGAGTCATTTTCTTCAGTCTTCTCTGCCTGCATTAAAAGCTGTAGACGATCAGCTGGGTGCATACTAGTCGATCTGGAGACACCTTGAAGTTGATTTCTTTGACTAAAACCATTTAGATGAAATGGAGCGAAAGCTGTAAGGACTCAGAGTTTGTCGCCACCAAGTGGTGAGAGGAGAATAATACAAACCAGAAAGTTGAGAAAGTTTTTTTAAATAGATAAAACGAGTTTCTCTGTGTTGAATCAGCCGGAGGCTCACGGGGAGCAGAGAGTGATGCTGACTCCCTCCCCTATCCAGCAGGCGGGGAACAGCTCCTGGGTGAAGGCACAGTGGAAGGCGTGGAGCCTCGTCTGTCCGTCGCCGTAGTAGGTGAGCGTCCCAGCCTCGTAGTCCAGCAGCATGCCGATGCGGCTGTGATGGGAGTGGCCGACCAGCGTCTCCCGCCGGCCGTTGTGCCAGGCGGAGAGCTGGTGCTCGTCCAGCTGGAGGCTCCACGACAGTTCGTTCATACCCACCATGCACCGCTTCCCCTTCTCCTTCCTGGGGATGGTTTCATAAGTTACCTGGAAGAGGGAGAGGTAAAAAAATAAATGGACATTAATTTTCTTTTTTTACTTTTTTTTTTTTTTTAAAGGGCATTTCGTGTGTCGCATGGTGCAGTGGTCAGAGCGGGAGCGTGGCTATGGACCTCGACGCTGGCGTATCGAGTTCGACCCCCGTCCTTGGTTCCTTAGTCGCATGCTTTACCCGGCCCTACTTTCTGCACCCTTTCTGTGGGATTACTGACAAATAAAAGCCACTAATGTCTTTAGAATAAAACAAGTTAAGAAATATATCGTTTTTTGGGGTGACCATAAATATATATACGACAGCTCAAACATGGATGCTATCAATTTAGCTAGCGCCCTTTAATTTGACCACACTAATTCAGTGGCAGAAGAGCCCACATTAAGAAATAACTGGTTTTAACACCATGACCAGTGGCAGTTGTCTTTTTAACATAAATGTAACTTTTTATTTTTAGGTTTATACTTCCTCATTTAAGTTTTTTACTAATCCTTGACATCCTGTTTCGCATGGTTATGTCAGAGGTCATTTCCTGTTTGCACTGGCCATTAAGCTACTAGATGAAGTTTTTAATTTTGTCAACAGCCAGTGGGCAGGAGTTAACAAAAATCTGAAAAAAGAAAATAACAGCAGAAAAATTAGCCATTTTGGGGTGGTCACAAAGTCTCCATGACTACGAGTACATGCCATGTACTTTCTAATTGTCATTTAAAGAGGCATACAAGGAAAAAAAACAACTTTATTCCAGTAAACAGATTAGAAAAGTATTTTATGTTTGTGATGGTAAGACAGACACGATTTTGAAATAAGGGATGAATGTGTGGAAAAGCACCGTATTTCCTCTGTATGTATGGTAATGGATCCTTGATGCCACATATCTGTTCTAAAGAGCCGTGTTCTTGTGAATAATGTTATGATGTTGGGTATAAAAGCATTAACAATATAAACAGAAAGCGATTCATGTTTGGGTCTTTGGGCAAAATAATAAAGCAACCAACACAAACTCAAAAATCATTTACTCGACACACAGTCATCCTCCTTCCATTACTGTCTGAGCCTTCTGACCTGAACCTTAGATACAAAAAAGACCCCTAAAACTTTGGGCTGAGCTGAAGGGAGAGTAAAAGAAGAGCTCAGAAAGATTCTGGAACTACTCTAACAGATGAAATCTCTAATGACCAACAGACTGATGTGATGTACGACAACAGAACCAGCAGAGTCTTTACCCCGAGGTAGGCCCAAGGCTTGGACACCTCCAGCTCCCAGTAGTGCTGTCCCTTTTTAAAGCCCTGGAAGCAGAGCACCTGCCAGGTGTGGTCGAAGCGAGCCTCGTGAGCTGGGACCGGGCGCGGACCGGAGGTCAGGTGCTCCGCCCTCCGATTCTCATGAGACAGAGACAGGTGTTCGTTGGCTGTTCGAGGGTCAAACGTCAGAGAGCAACGATCTACGAAGACAAGGATTGAGACAAAAGTTAAGATCTGTCAAGCTAAGGTTTCAATCATGTAGCGTATAAAAAGCAGGACTCACAGGCACTGAGGCTTTCCTTCCCACCAGGGAGGCACGGAGTAGCCGGACTGGGAACCACAGCAAGTACTGGCCTCTTATCCTGAGGAGAACCTGGACAGCCATGAGCCGATGAGAACACGGGTTAGGTTAGGATAAAAGTTCTGGCCAGTCCAGCAGAAAGTAGCTCTTAAAACCAAGGTTACCGTCGTTGTCCTGAAGCACAGTGGTGCACACGGCTCTCTCCAGGTCCTCACAAACCAGCTTGGAGACTCGGGTCAGAACGTCCGTGACGCCGTTCAGCCGATCCACAAGGTTTGGCGACACCTCTGTGGGAACGTCACTGAAACGTGGCACTTCCACCTGCGTCGACTCCTGAGAGTAAAGCACATCCGCTCCATCGCGTTTCAACGAAATACGAGATAACCGCTGATGTTAAGAGGTACAGACCCTAATGAGGTCGGCGTCAGAGAGATCGTGCAGAGCTGCTATTTGGGCTTGGCTCTCTTGGAGGATCTGCGAGCGCTGCTGGAGGCAGGTCAACCGCGTCTCCGCCTCCGTGATGGCTTCCTCTTTCTGCTGCTCGATGAACAGCTCCGTGGCCTCCTGCTTCTCAGTCAGAATCTTGATCAGAGAGGAGAACTTGGCCCGCATCCAAGACGAAGTCTGCTCTAGAGTCACCTGTTGATGGAAGGACCTCAGTTGCACGTCTGCTTGGTGAAATATTTGTCAATCTTTCACCATAAACAAGCAAATATGAACAGATTGGATTTCAATTTCAAACTACGTCTGATAGGTTAGATTAGAACAATCTCCTACAGTGCCTTGAAAAAGTATTAATACCCCTCTTTGTTTTTTTCTTCGTCGTGCTACAACCACAAACTCCACTGGATTTTATGTAACCAACATAGTTCTCAACATTGTTTCACCAATAAAAACCTGAAACATGTCATGCGTTTGTGTTCAGACAGTTATGTCAGAACTTAAGACAACCAATGGATGAGTGACTCTATGGTCTTTGTAGAGCCACCTTGTGAGGAAGTCACCTATCAGCTCTGCGTATTTAGCCACCTGTTTTTCTTTGCTAAATATCGAGAGCTCATTCGATATTTGAGCAATTTTGAATTCAACAATTCAAAATTGTTGAATTTTGAACTTCCATTTCAGTCATTCAGTTAAAAACCATCATAGTTTGTGGCCTATGAAAGGTTTTCTTTCAACATTGCCCACTATTTAGCTTAGGGTTTCCCCCAGTGTACTATACGCCTGGCAGGCCACCAGGCTTTTGAATGTTTGAATTTTGAATGTTTTGTGTTTATCTAACCCCAATGAAGAAAGTAGAAAAGCAAACAGAGTGTGAATACTTTTTCAAGATACCATATTTTCTTCTGTTTAACCATCTAGATTCTGTTTATATATATAAACTGAGGAATCACCTTAGCATGACTGATGTTCTCCAACAAATCATTTATACTCTTTTGTGTGTCCTCAAGCCGTTTCTCCACTTCCTTACTCTTTCTTTCAAGCAACAGCTGTAAAGAAAACACAATTTGGAGAAAAGGTTTTTACCTTACTATTAAAAGTTAAGTTTGGACTAAAGTTACAAGTATCCCGACTTGTTTTATACCTCTTGACTTTCCTTCTCTGCCTCCAGCATGACTTTGTCGTGATTGGCGCATTCAGTGATGCCACATTCGCAGCACACGGGCATTTTGTCCTGCCTGCAGTAGTAAACCAGGGGCTTCTTGTGGCGATCGCAGAGCAGCAAAGTCCTCGCCCCATCCCCTGACCTCAGCAGAGGTTCCCTGCAGGACGGGCCGGTACTGTTGGCAGACTCGGCCAGCACCGACAGTGACACGTTTCGCTTCAGAACTGGTCTGGACGCAAACTCCTGATTGCAGAAGGGGCAATGGGGGTTTTTGTTAGACTTGCTGCTGGTGTCCCAGTGTTTGCTGATGCAGTCTTTACAGAAGGTGTGGCCGCAGGGGATGGTCACAGGGTACCTGAAACGTTCCAGGCATATGGCGCAGTTGAGATATGAATTCTGAGAGTCCATATTTGCAGGGAAACGACAAACATCTAGAAGAAAGAAAACACAGAGAAAGGATGTCACTATGATGTGTCTTTTTTAGACTAAAAAAACCGGCTAATTCTAAATAAAATTGCCTTTTTTTTCTGCATTGAACTGTGACACAAAGCAACAGCAAAGTAATAGTCACAGCGATATACAACGCCATATCCAGGTGGAGCCCAGAGCCAACAGCCTGAACTGAACTCAATGGAGAGCACAGCTAGCGCTAGCTCCAGTTAGCATTACGTTTGGCTCCTTTTATTTTAGCCACGACTCTACGTGACAAATACTCAGTCGAAAATATTAAGAGAACTAAACAATTTAATTCCACATTTTAAACAGCACGCCTTCTCTGACTACTGAGTTGTAACACAAATGTAACATCATGACATGTCTTACCACTACAATAGATGTATTCCTGCACGTTACAGAAGAAGCTTCCCTGATGACGACAACACGCCTAACGATACCTTCACTGGCTACCGGGAAATAATAAACACAACGCTAAACGTGAAGGTGGAAGATGCGAAATGTGTTGAGAGATTCCTACCTATTATTAAATTAGGAGTTATATATTTAGACCGCTTATTGAAATTAACACTTGTATGCGCTTTCAGGTAATAAATGTAGTAAGAATCTTAACTGTTAAGACAATAGATTGAGAAATTTCTGAAGTGTAAAATCAGTTCCGACTATATTTTGGTCATGTTGAACTCGAAAACTTATATTATCCTATTTAAAAGAAAGAGGGTTGTGCAATGTTTGAATGCACAACCCAGAATGCTGCTAGTCATTAAAACATAAAAGAGAATATTTTTACATTTTTATTACGTTTCATTTTTTTTCCTGTATTTTTTTTGTATTTTTAGTTCCTTTTTTTTACGTATTAGTCGTTGCCTGGGTTACATTACAAGAACACCTGTTCACTAATATTACTTATCAATGGGAAAAAGTGATTGAAGTAGATTTCTGAGTTCTTTGATGCATTAAACGCAACATCGCAGTCCTGTATCATTTGACCACACGGCCACCGTAGTTACATCCAAGATGGCGCTGCGCACAGTTTGTGCTGCTGCGCTGCGAACTGGGACAGATTTAGGGGTCAATAACGCGAGGACTATTGCTACAACAGGTAATGTTATTGTTTTTCTGAGATATTTTCTATTTGGTAGTTATTGTCCGAACTTTAATGCTCGAGTGTTGCTTTGTAAAAGGGTGTTTGAAGGAAACAACACAAACATGCTGGCCTCGACTGTGCGGTCAGACATGACAAACTCAGCAACAGTCAGAAAAATCGAACATTTTGTTTCAGTCTTCATTACGTTGGAAACATAACTGGGTTAGTTTAAGAGAGAAGGAGAATCCGCAAGTTTAACTTTTACAATTTAATCATGTATCAAAAAGCAATGACCCCTTTACCAGCTAACAAGAAATTACTAAGAAAAATAGTTCAATTTCAAGGATTGAAATTGAAATTTAAACAATTTTTATGGCTCACTTTAACAAATCCAATACTTATTTGAAGCATTACCTGGTTTTCTTTGTATCAGAAGTGTTACATTAGACTTATTTCGGCATGTACTCCCTTTTAAAGAAATAAATCAAATTTTGCCTCTTTTACATGAATTAGATTTTCAGAAACTGAAAATAATGACATTAAATGTTACTGCAAAGGAAGTGTTTACCTAAATAGTCACTGAAGTCACTGATTTAAATGTGATTGACCAGAATTAGAATTTGACAAATATTCTTGGCAACGAGCATTCACTCCCCTTGGATGTTTTTTTTTTTTTTTATGAAAAAGTGGCTCGTATCTACTTTGAATTTGTGTCCAAAATAATAAATTTTTACTACGTATTGCTGTAAAACAATGTTTGATAAGCTATGTTTTGTTCAATTGTGTTAAAGTACATTCTGTTTTTTTTTCTCTTGTTACCAACAATGAAAACAAAGAGAGCTTTCTATTCCATTTAAACTCGTTTCTAATAAAGGTGTATTCGGCCTTTTATTACCCTTGAATCAAACGAGATGTTGCCTTCTGCAATACATTGATCCTCCAGCAGAGGGCAGAAGACAAGCACAGGCTTCAAAACAAGAAGTGGAAACTAACATCATCTCTATTGGAGGACAAATAATAATAATAATTTGTCACTAAAAGAGGTCTGTCTGTGAACATGCCTGACTGAAACATTTTAGCTCCAGCTTTAATTCAAATTTGATTTAAAAATGCAGTTGTGCAAGATAATAATTTAAACCCATAACATTTTGACGATGTTGTTTCTAACCATTGGACCCAGTGGTCCTCAGCAAACGGGTGCGTCCGCTGGGACCCATGCCCAATGACGACATCGACACATCAAACCTGGAGTCTCTGGAGAAATACCGCAGCTACAACCGCTACTTCCGACAGGCCGAGGAGGCCAAGAACAAGCGCATGTGGTGGAAGACCTACAGGAGCTACGTGGAAAAAGCAGATCCTGAGCACGGTGAGGAGTAAACTCTGGAATCTGCTGCTGATGGGGTTCAAATGCGTCACTGAGTATTGCTGTGCGTCTAGGTGCTGAGCGCGTGGACATCGGATTGCCATACTGTCGTCCCAGCAGAACCAAAGAGGTGAAGGAGAGGAGGCAGGTAATGAGGGAAAACAACAGGAACGTCGAGCTGGAGAGGGCCTCCCGACTTCGTACTTGTACGCTTTTTTTTTCCCCCTTGACGTTTGTCAAAATTAGACTTTTTTCAACTGGAGAAGTTAACACATGTCACCCCTTCAGTGAAGATCTCCTTGGACCGAGTGCAGGAAACCTGGGAGAAGACCAGCGGACCGTTGCACATAAAGAAGCTGGCCGACCACTATGGGGTCTTCAGGGACCTCTTTCCAATGGCCTATTTTCGACCTCAGGTCACCCTCCGCATCAGCTACAGCCAGGACAGTGATAGACAAGTGCGTTATGGGAATCAGCTGACGCCTACAGAAGTATGCTAAAAAGACAGAGGATGAATTTTCCGATATTATGTTTCTTCTCTTAGCTTATCTTCTGCTCCATCTTGTCTCTTTAGGCAGTGTCGGCCCCCCGGATTGCCTTTGACGCAGAGGAGGGCTCCCTATGGACCCTCCTGCTCACCTCTCCAGGTCAGCGTCGCCCTTAACCTGTGAGACTAAGCAGTCTGTTTTCACTGGGGATGCAAGTTATCAGTTGAGTTAATGGAAAGTTGATTGATCTCATCCATTGACTAACGGTTGATTGACAAGCAGCCATTTTCTTAAAAACTTAAATTTCCCATTCTTTCAAGAGGGCCAACCGTCATTCCATTAACATAAAGGGATAAATCTTTCATAACATACTGAATTTGAAAAAAAAAAAAAAAAGTCAGCTGTACTAAATATCGACTGAATAAACAGAAAATTGTGTGTTTCTCACATTCTTAAACTTGCATATGAAGCATAGCGAAACAGGAACGTCTTGGGTTGCTGAATAAAAACTTAAAACGTCGCTCCATTAAGTGTATTAACTCTTAATACATTTAATGTATTGGCACAATGCCAACACAATGTTGTTTTTTTTTCCGCATCATGTTAACATTTTTCTGCGTCATCTTCTCCGTTTTCCTGTCATCACGTCCTCGCCTTCGTTATTTTTGGTGGAGAAGTTGACGCTGCTCTGTTATGCAGCATCTCGGCTGAATGAGCGCTATCGAGGTGAAACTTAAAGAGCTTGTAGAGCGTTTATATTTCAAAACAGAACCGCATAAAATGCATTTTACCTCCGATAAAGGACTGAGTTTGGACCGTTTCTCTTTCCGTTCTGATATGGCCGCCATATTGTATCGGCAGGCGCTGCTTGAGGATGACCAGCGGCGCTCTCTGCTGGATGGCGGGCAAACTACAACAATAAAAGAACAATCAATTGGAATTAATTTTAACTAACCATTGACTGATACTTAATCACAAGCTGATTGTTTTCACCCCTAGTTTTCACATTTAAATTCAGAAAACATACCTTTATTTTTATTTCATTTCTTTGCAGACGAGCATCTTCTGGATAACGAGGCAGAGTACCTCCACTGGCTTGTGTAAGTACTTTGGGACCAATCCAAAGTGTGCATTTCTTCGTCCGGTTAGTCCCAAAACATGTGAATATTAAAAATGTGGAATGTCTTGTGTCCCTGGAAGCGGGAACATTCCAGGCGGGGCGGTGAAGGCCGGAGAGGAGCTGTGTCACTACCTGCCGCCTTTCCCTGCCAGGGGAACAGGCTTCCACCGCTACATCTACGTCCTCTTCAAGCAGGAAAAACCCATCAGCTTCCGGGAAGATCTCCGCCCATCGCCATGGTGAGTAACGGCCCCAGCATCTTACCTGAATGTGAGAGAATCAAGACGTTCAAGCGTTTTAAACGAGATGTACTTTCTTACCATAACAAGATATAAGAGGAGTATTACCACTTGTGTTGATGTGTGTGTAATAAACCATGCCATCTTTCCTCCTCAGCCACTCGCTGGTTGACCGCACCTTTAAGACTGTGGATTTCTACAGAAAGCATCAGGACGACATGACGCCAGCAGGCCTGGCCTTCTTCCAGAGCCAGTGGGACGAATCGGTTACCAACACCTTCCACAACACACTCAGTGAGTCGTGTTTCTTTATGTTGCCATGTTTGTTTTGAAGTCTGTTTAAAAATTAAAGCCGCATTCTCGCTCTAGACATGAAGGAACCAGTGTTTGAGTTCATCAGGCCTCCAGTGTACCACCCTCCACAGGTCAAGTATCCACACAGGCAGCCACTACGCTACCTGGACAGGTACAGAGATGGGAAGGAGCATACCTACGGCATTTACTGATCAGGAGAAACGTATCCGACCAGAAATCCAGTCTGGAAAGTGTGGAATCACCGTCTAAATAAAGCATTTCTTAACTGTTTCCGAGTCTGCTCTTTAGTCTTGTGACGACAGCTCATTGTCCTCAGTCAGATACATATTTTAAAAAGTTTATTAAAAGTGTCAATTTTTGCCTAAGTCTTACTGAGGAATAGGAACAGAATCAGTGCCACCAGTGTGACTGGTAAAACACAGTTGTAAAGTTAAAAGTAGTCGTGGGCCACAAAAGTTATAAGTTATAAAAAAAAAACTCCAAACAATTCTATTGTAAAAAATGTTTTATTGAAATGTGGTACAAATTTGATGTATTTACCTCATTTTCTGCAGGTAAGTCAGTGTAACTCAGGTGTTTATCTTTAAATTTGTTTAAAATGCATCTTATTCCGGTTTCCTTTTCAAACTTGTTCTATTTGGCCTTATTTTCAGTTTAATGAGTTACTTGATAGACACAATGAATTCAAACGGATCAGGTAAACTAAAAATGCTGACCAATAAAAATAAGTTTGATCACGCCAAGTAAAGTAAATTATATGGTTACAAAGACCAAACAGCTTCACAATTTTTTTTCTGTATCTAATAAACAGTTAACCTCAATATGGTAAACCGAGCGCTTAAATCGCTCCCA